TAGTGATGCAAAGACAACCTGAAATCATTAGCACTCAACTATATCAATCAGAAGATGCTTTGAACTACACTGTTTAATGTATAAGGACCAGCAACACAGAATCACAGAATATTCAGAGCTGGAAGGGACCCACAAGAGTCATCTAGTCCCACTCCTGGCCCTGCACAGGACATCCCCAAGAATCCCACCCTGTGCCTGAGAGAATTGTCCAAACACTTCTTGAGCTCTGTCAGACTTTGAACTGTGACAACTTCCCTGGTGAGCTGTTCCAGTGCCCAAACACCCTCTGGGGGAAGAATTTTTTTTCTAATATCCAACCTAAACCTCCCAATGTGGTTCTGAGCCACTTTCCCTAAGGAAGTGCAGAGGAATACAAGGTTCAAAGAAAGCTTATTCTTTGGAGAATCAGGGAGTGTCATGTTCTCTCATTTAAAAACAAACAAACCTTTATGCAAATCCACCTGAGGTAAAGCTGTGACACTAAATATTTCACTGGTCATTCCTACAGAAAGAGTAATGCTGCTAAGATGCTAAGAAACTGAAGCCCATAATGATACAGTAAGGAAGAATGTGAAAAATGGATTTTACAAAAGAATGTCACTTCTGTAATTTATCTATTTAATTATTTACATGTCTTTTGTAACTTAGCTAGACATTGTCATTTATCACTTCTCTGCCATTAGCAGTGGAATTTTGGCTTGAGAATGTTGCTAAGATGAACAGACATGTGCCTGTTTTGTCCTGGTGTTCAGCATTTGAGACCCATGTAATGCTTCCTCTCATTTTCTAAATAGTTCTCCCAAAGTACTTTCATTAAAGAAGTTTGTTAAATGTTTAGAGTGGAAATGGTAGAACTGAATTTTTAAACACAATTTTGTCCAAGGTCAGGTGTTTAATTAGTGGTTTTACTTACCAGTTTGTCAAAAGTATTCAGCAACTACTTCAGGGTTTAAAACAATGTGAACCATTACTCTGCTTTGTGCAGAAACCTTTGTCTCCTGGGTGCAGAATCCAAATTTAGGCCATCCAGCATCTGATGTGATTTAGACATTTTTATTTATTTCTTTTTGGCTTAACATGGAATCATCCTGAGGGGAGTGAGAAGAGTTTTAGGTGCAAATTGTAAAGCCAACACTGTCATTGGGATTGGTCACTGAACAACACAGAGAGCTCCCTTTGATTTACACTGCAGGGGTGGCCCAGACTCAACACAAATGAAGCTCTACAAACACAGGCAAGCTTAGAAGTGCCCTTCAAAGGCTGCAAATCTTCTAAGATTTTTTTAGTCCACTGAGCAGTTGGTGGGGGTGAGTTTCCTTAATCTTGCCATCTGATTTGGTATGAGATTGCACTCTGGGTTGGTTGGTTGCTAATCTTGCTAGGCATAGGTTTTAACCTCTTTCTGCTTTTGTCCAACCAGCATAGCTAGTCTCTTGTCTGAAGCCACTAACTGTGTTCTGCCTGTTTTTTCTCTTCTGTACATTTTTCTGCTTGTCACAGAATCATAGAATATAAGGGTTGGAATGGACCTTAGAGATCATCTAGTCCCAACCCCCTGCCCTGGGCAGGGACATCTCCTCAACTAGATCAGGTTTCTCAAGGTTTTATCCAACCTGGCCTTGAACACTGCCAGGGTTGGGGCAGCCACAGCCTCCCTGGGCAACCTGTGCCCATGTTTCACCACCCTTAGAGTAAAAAACTTTTTTCTCATATCCAGCCTAGACTTTCCCTCCTTCAGTCTGAACTCATTACCCCCTGTCCTATCACTGCAGTTCCTAACACAGAGTCCCTCTCCAGCTTCCTTGGAGGCCCTTCAGATGTTGAAAAGTTGCTCTGAGGTCTCCACACAACTTTCTCTTCTCCAGGCTGAACAGCCCCAATTTCCTCGGCCTGTCCTCATAGGGGAGATGCTCCAGTCCTCTTGTCAACTTTGTGGCCTCCTCTGGACTTGCTGCAGCAGTTCCATGTCCTTGAATGGTCATATTACATAAAACATGGAAGGTAGTGGTGATTACTTCTTTTAGTTTTGCCAGCTCTTAATATACTGTTACCATTTCCAGCCTTCTTTGTATAAACTGCCCTTTAGAGACCAGGATGCCCTAGCTTATTGATAAACAGAACAAACTAGAAATATTCCAAAGTGTGGATATTTCTGTCACTGGAAAGCAAGAGAAAAATGGGTTGAGCTCTATCATTAGTGGGTAATGGTAATTGTAATAGATCAGTGAGTAGACTGTAGGTGTGAATGTAAAATACTTGTAAAAAGATCTGTAAGTCTATAAAAGCAGTAAAGGAAAGTGTCCCCATTTAGCACAGCAGAGAAGATGCTGTGTTTGAAGAGAAGCTTAGTCTGGAAACAACATGTTCCCTGAAGATGCTGTATCGTTGCACTGGAGATCATCTTACAGAACACAGAAATGGTGAAAGTGCAACTTTGCCTCTGCATTGCTTCAAGGTCAATTAATGGAGAGAGAATCTCCAGCTGCAGAGTCAGGCTCAGCTTGTGCAGAGAGTTGTAACTGTAGAAGGGAAATGCAATTAATGCTAATACAAAAATCAAGTCTTTATGAAACATTAGGCTGAAATATATACCAAGTCCTTCATAATTCAGGAAATAAGGATATGGAAACAGAGAAATGAAGCTGTGTGTTCAGGAAGTATTGTTTGGAATGTCTGTAAAATGTAGGACTTGGCACATCTATGTATAGTTATAAGTAAGAAAAATTCCTTGGCTAATGAGGAGAGACTGAACCAGTTCAATATATTTTAATCTCGTAGCTGTAAAGGTAACTTGTACCTGTGTAACATTCTGTGTGCATGTGGCAAGGTTTGGAGGGAAAAGGCATCCTGCTGCTCCCACTCCTTAAGATACATTCTGCTTTTGCTCTTACTTAGAGAAAATTCAGTGAGTATTTAAAACCCTAGTTGTGCTGGGCTGCCCCAAACCTGCAGTGCAGAAGGGAGGGATTTGCTTCATTGGGCTCTGCAGTGCTTTGGGTATTTTGTCCAAAGGATCTGTAAGTTTAGCCTTTTGCAGCACAGCAGAAAAGCCACTGCTGCCACACTTGGATGGTTGGGAAGGTACTTAGAACTGAGGTTGCCTGAGAACTGATCCCCCTGCAGGTGTGACACCACCTGACATGCAGTTTAGTAATCCCAGGCAATTCCAAAATTCTAGTCCTCTTCAATATCTAATAAACCCTGATTTGCCCAATGCTGATGGCAATGAACTTCATACAGACATTGTTTATGCTGCCTTTAATTGATGCTTTGCTTCCTTTACTTTCTGTTAGGAGGAAGATTAAATACCACCAATGTCTTTTCTGTGTGTATCATTCACTACTTGATCTACTTCTGTTGACTAAATTCACCTCCTCCCCAAGCAAAGTAATGTTAATATTTTAAATCTCTCCTTGTATGGATGACTATCTGCAGCTTTAATCTGTTTGTGACATTCTCTGATGCTTTTCTGTTTCTGATATATCTTTTTTTAGATGGATGCTGTTAGTGGGCACAACATTTCCAGAGAGGTCATGTCATGCATTTATGTAATAGCATAATATTTTAAGGCTGCATTAAATAGTAGTGAACATCTTTCTCTTGTTTGCTCTCTCCCCTAAACAGACAATCATAATTGTTAGCTCTGTTTTTTTTGGCAGTAGTTTCACTTAGTTTAAATCTCATCAGTGAGTAGTAAAAATTTTCATCCAGAGCATATGTTTCTGTTTTGTGGTGGTTGTTCTGACTTTCGTCTGGGAGTTGGAGACCTTTCAGTTCAAGGTGATGTGTGGAGGTTGTGCTGCTTCTCGAGGCACTGGTCAACTTCAGGTCTTCCCCAACACCTCTGACAGCCTTGGGTTACTTAGCTACACACTGATCCTGCCTTTTTCACTCCCCTCTCTTTGCATCTGCCCCAAGTTTGTCTGTCTCTGTTGTTGAGGGCATATAGTAGTTGCATGGGTTCTCTTAATGGAGAAACCTTCAACTCTGCCTGTTTTTGTGCAGCAGTTTCTACTCACACCTTTCAGTGAGACCAGGACAGCAGTTGGCTGATGAGGTGCTTTAGGACCACTTATATCTCTCTCTCAAAGTCCAGGCTGCTCTCCCCTTGCAGTTTCTACCTCTCCAGTATGTTTTTCCCCTCAAAGCTCTGCCATGTATTCCATTCTCTCAGGAGACATTTAGTTTCCACTTCTTTGTAAGCTATACAAAGATTTTTGGCTATTCTAGTCATCAGTGAGTCTCCAGGCAGTGAAATGGCTCCTTGAGAGCTATGAAGAAGAACTAGCAGTCACCAGTGAGTCTCCAGGCAGTGAAATGACTCCTTGAGAGCTATGAAGAAGAACTAGAAATGTGCTTTCCAGTCAGTAGAACATTAGAATAAGTAGAGGGTAGACTAGTAAATAGATTGGCATATGTGTGTAAGATGCAAGACAGTGTGGGGGGAAAGTGCTCTACGACTGGAGCAAAGTTTATACATGACAGATGTGTCCAAAGGTCATGTATAATGCATGAAGAGACTTAAATTTCAAACTGGAGTGCAAGTTATGCAATAGATATATAAAATATGTATATCTATAGTGTGGATGTGGGTTTTAAAGAAGTCCCACCTTCTTTTGAAAGTGATAAGGACTTGAGCCCCTCATCGATGAACTTTGTGATTTAAAGGAATTCCATAACCATGTGTCACCAGGGGAAAGATTTCAGTGCATTTTGCCTTTGTAATCATAATTTTATCTTCATGTTTTTGAGTCATAATGCTATGAAGATGCAAGTAAAACCAAGGTAGCTTGATAAAATTCTTCTTCCAGGACCTTGAGAGAGAAAAGGAGGTAAGAATTTTAACTGCATAGGAATAGCTGTGGCTCTTTGGACACAAGAATGCAGCTGTACACTGTTCATTCAAATCAATGTCAATAAATTCCTTTTTTTCCTCTATATCTAGGTGCGTCTGAACCTTCTTTCATTGCTAAAAGTGAAGATCGTTTGTTTAAGCACTTATTTGAGGACTACCAGAGGTGGGTTCGGCCTGTGGAACGCTTGAATGACACCATCAAAATCAAGTTTGGCCTTGCCATCTCTCAGCTAGTAGATGTGGTATGTACAGTAAACAGGTTGTGCTTTTTTTCTGCTAACTTTAATATTCTGGAACATAAGTTCCCCCCTCAGCTCAGGAGGGACATTGAGGTGCTGGAGCAGGTCCAGAGAAGAGCAACGAGGCTGGTGAAGGGACACGAGCACAAGTGCCATGAGGAGAGGCTGAGGGAGCTGGGGGTGTTCAGCCTGGAGAAGAGGAGGCTCAGGGGAGACCTTACCACCCTCTGCAACTCCCTGACAGGAGGTTGGAGTCAGGTGGGGGTTGATCTCTTCTCCCAGGCAACCAGCAGCAGGACAAGAGGGCACAGACTCTGCCAGGAGAGGTTTAGGTTGGATATTAGGAAGAGGCATTTTACAGAGAGAGTGATCAGGCATTGGAATGTGCTGCCCATGGAAGGTGGTGGATTCAGCATCCCTGGAGGTTTTCAAGCTGAGACTGGATGTGGCACTTAGTGCCATGGTCTAGTAGACACAGTAGGGTTGGACTGATCTTTGAGGTCTTTTCCAACCCAGTTGATTCTATGATTCTATGATAATATCACGTGAAAGAATTGTGCATATTTTAGCTTAAAACGCAACAGATGAAACCTCTGAAGTTACTAACAGTGTCACAAGAAATGCACTGTAGTTGCATGTGTGATGTTTCATATAGCCATAGTTGAAGGCTTTAAATTTGGGTTTTAAATCACAGACCTCTGAGCTAAAGCAGCTGTTTACTCTGAGTGTTCTGTGCAGGTTGCTTTTCATGACATATTTTATTTTACAGGATGAGAAAAACCAATTGATGACAACAAATGTATGGCTGAAACAGGTAGGTGTGAAATAGGGATGAAAAACTCAGAAGCTTCAGAGCTGCAAATCAAAATTGGGAAGAAACATTTCTCATTCATTGTATATTCAAAGTAACAGTTCGTCCATGAGTTTTTATTTCACAGAGTATCTTTAAAACGTTGTCAACCTTGTGTTCAGCACAAATCCTAAACATAGCCCCATACTGTGAAGAAAGTTAACTTCACTTCAGCCCAAACCAGAACAAACATGTCCCTGGAAATGCTTTAAAGGATTACATGCTGCAAAACTCTTGAAAAACATTAAAAGCACACAAAAAAAATCAATTTAAAAACATACCAAATTGAAAGGGATCCAATATGGCATTTCATGGCCATTTAATATTCCAAGGGATGTGGATCCAACCAGAAATTCAGGAGCTAAGTTCTCACTCTAAAGCTTTATTAAGGAAAGGATGGGTTGATGTAGGCTTCTGTATCACAGTTTTGATGTCTTCCTCTGGTGAGGTGTTGGAGATGATAAGGTAAACAACACTGAAGAATTTCAGTTTCAAAGTTATATATGTTTGCTATAAAAAGCTACATTTTCCTCTTAAGAATATTTGGATTTGGGCAGGAAAAAGCTTGATAACCATCAGAGTCTTGTGCTAAACTCAATGGCCACTGTTAACTTGGGAAATACTGCTCACAAAGCCTTCCTGACTTAACTTATAAAACATTTTCAGATCCTGATTATACTTACTTTGGGCTACTTCCTTTCGTTTTCTTGGTTTGGTTCCCCCCCCCCCTTGCTTCCCATTCCCTTCTTTTCAGAAACTGCAATTTCAGGCCAAGTTTTTATTTTTCAGGACAATTTTGAGACTTCTCAGCAAATACGAGGTGGCAACGTGTCTTCGATAACACTTTTTGCCCTCTTTAATAGTTTAAATAAAACAAGGACTGACCTGTCACTGCTGTAACCCCCAAACCTTTGTGACAGGCTAATGGTTGGACTTGATGATCTCTGAGGTCTCCTCCAGCCTTGATGATTCTATGATTCAAGTATCAAAGTGCCAAAGTACTACTGTGTTTTTAATGGTGCTATTTTTAGTGTTGCCTGTAGAAATAGGAACAACTGTCATTTAAGAGTTGCAGCATGATGGGGTATTTTTGTATGATGTAAATGTCTAAATTGCTTCTGATCAACTTCCAGTCATTGCTGCTCATTCAGAACGAGCTCTTTGCAAATTTAATTTGTCCAATTAAATTACATTCTAATAGCCCTTGCTTAGGTATATATGGTCTGAAAAGGAACTTCATATCATAAGTTCTGGACAGAAACAGTGTCAAGTGGTTCCAGTAAGAGAAGACAAATACTGAGTGAGGTAACTACGTCTGTTCAGCAAATTCATTGGTTTATGCAAATTTTAGAAGCCAGTTGGATTTTTTAATTGCTTTGTTATCTATTTTCATCTGGCATTGCTCTGCTTAAATTAACAATGTTGATTTTCACATCTCACATGCCCACAGGAATGGATAGATGTAAAATTAAGGTGGAATCCTGAAGACTATGCTGGAATAACATCTATTCGTGTCCCATCAGAATCTATTTGGATTCCTGATATTGTGCTGTATGACAAGTAAGATTTTAATCTTTTCATACAAAATGCATTTCCTTCCTCCCTTTACTGCCCAAGCTGCTTCTAGGAGATTCTAGATTGACATGTGTATACATTTAGTGGAGCTAAGAATGTGTGGAACAATTTGCTTCTGAATGCAAATGGACTTTGTTGCTATGTTCAATGTTTTGCTTTGGTTCTATATGGAATTTCTTGACTCTTTGGAAAGTTTATTTCCACTCCTCGTGTAAACTCTTAATTAAAAAACAATGTCTTGCACAGTGGTAGGTACAAATAGTGTGGAGTGTTGGGAGGGAAGAAGCTCATTTATGTGGTTTTAAGTCCTATTCAGCATGGAATTAAAATGAAGTACACTCAGCTGTAAGGGAGGTTCGTGTTGGGTTTGGATTGGGTTTTTTTGGGTATGTTTTGGTTTTTTTTAACAGATCTCAGAAGCAATAACTTTGGAACTGACCTCTCTGCTCCACTCAGGTGCACACACAATGCTTTCATGTTTCCTGACTTTTCAAGTCAGGAGCTGAAGCTGTTTCATTGTCTGTAAATTCAAGTTTGGAGGTTCACACAGGTATTATTTTACCTGTTTATGATTTGACCAAATATAAAAATACTTATATTGTATTGCTCACAGAAACACCAGAATTTGGTCATGCTGTTAAAGGGCAGGATTTTCCAAATCCTTTCATAAGTCATTGGGAAAGTTGCACAGATCTTTTCATGACTTAAAAATATTCTTCACTCTTCCAAAACATTCCCTGTGTGAGATTCAGATTTAAGACAAAAAAATTGACTGTGAAGACAGTACAAAATTTGGGCTATCAAGGGGGAGAAGGAATAAACAGCTGCAATGACAACAACAAAGCATATTTGCTTATTAAATACATCCCCCATTTTAATTGCATGTGTGTATCTCTCTCCTTTCAGTGCAGATGGACGTTTTGAGGGAACATCTACAAAAACTGTGGTCAAATATGATGGCACCATTGCTTGGACTCCCCCAGCCAACTATAAAAGTTCTTGTACTATTGATGTAACCTTCTTCCCCTTTGACCTCCAAAACTGCTCAATGAAGTTTGGTTCCTGGACTTACGATGGGTCCCAGGTTGACATCATTCTTGAAGATTACGATGTTGACAAAAGAGACTTTTTTGATAATGGAGAATGGGAAATAGTGACTGCAACAGGGAGCAAGGGGAACAGGACTGATGGATGCTGCTGGTATCCTTTTGTTACATATTCATTTATAATTAGACGTTTACCCCTTTTTTACACTTTGTTTCTCATTATTCCTTGCATCGGGCTCTCATTTCTGACTGTCCTTGTCTTCTACCTTCCTTCAAACGCAGGGGAAAAGATTTCCCTTTGCACTTCAGTTCTGGTGTCTTTGACTGTTTTTCTTCTTGTTATTGAAGAAATTATTCCCTCATCTTCTAAAGTTATCCCACTTATAGGAGAGTACTTGGTGTTCACGATGATCTTTGTGACCTTGTCCATCGTGATAACTGTCTTTGCTATCAACATCCACCACCGCTCGTCCTCCACACACAATGCCATGGCTCCTTGGGTGCGCAAGATATTTCTTCACAAGCTTCCCAAGCTGCTTTGCATGAGGAGCCATGTGGATAGATACTTTGCTCAGAAGGAAGAAACAGCCAATATGAATGGTTCAGAGTCCTCCAGGAACACCTTGGAAGCAGCTCTTGATTCCATCCGCTATATTACAAGGCATGTGATGAAGGAGAATGAAGTTCGTGAGGTGAGTGTGTGGCTCAGGTTACACTCCTCTTGGTGGAAGTCAGAAAACCAAGGAATGGTTTACTGTGCAGTTGTGCTAGAGATTTCCAGATTTTGTACTTCTCTGAAAGCTATGGAATTGTTTGCACTGGAAAACAACTGTTGGGTGGAGACCTCAGAGTAACCTGCCAGGATCTGAAGGGGCTCCAGGGAAGCTGCAGAAGGACTCTTGGTTAGGAGCTGCAGTGACAGGACAAGGAGTCATGGGGATAAATTGAAAGATGGAAATTTAGGTTAGATCTTAGGAAGAAGTTTTTCCTGTGAGGCTGGTGAGACACTGTCCCAGGTTGCCCAGGGAGGCTGTGGCTGCCCCAGCCCTGGCAGTGTTCACAGCCAGGTTGGCTGAGCCTTGAGCAACCTGCTCTGGTGGGAGGTGTCCTTGCCCAGGGCAGGGGCTGGGACTGGATGATCTCTAAACTCCATTCCAACCCCTTAACATATTATGAAACTATGGAAGTACAAGTGTGGTACAACACTGAGAATTCTTACGAGTGTTGGGCTGATACAATGCTGTCCTTGGATTCTTTAAAAGTCTTTTGCTTTCTTCTAGAAGTAAGTTCCTGGTTAGTTACACACTGTGAGACGCTTGTCTGTTACAAGAGCTAGTACCATACCTTTCCTTACAGTGCTGAGGAGCTGATGAGGAGGTATTTTTTGCTTTCATGTTGTACCCAAAGGCTACCTGAAAAATGCATTTGCCTTATGTTTTCAGAAGAAATACTGCCAAGCCTTATTTTGCAGCTTATAGTCCAAATAAAACCAATTTTAATGCTCTAATTTGTATAATTTTAAATACAGGCTATAGCCATATGTTGGTCATTTTGTGCTGAGGTCAAATCCGGAGTCGATGACATGTTGAGTGTTCTCGCCTTATTATTATCATTTGTCTGTAAGTTAGATGAAAAGAGGTCAAAGGCTCTTTTCAGTCTGTGCATTTGCATTCTGAACTATCCTTACTGGATGTTTATGCCCTTTGGGTAAAAGCATTACAAATCTGTTTTCTTTCCAGGCTTTTTAAACTAGCAGCTTTGGTACATCAGAGACTGAAATGTTCTTTCCAGGCTAGTGAGAAATACACAAGTCTGTTGTGTGGTCCCAGTTTGCTGCTGTTTCCGATGACAAGGCCTGAGGTTCCTTTGGTTCATATGGAAATGGCTGTTTTTAGCAGTTGCTGGTTGCTGTGAGCATCTTCTCACACACAAGCCTAGGAATAAGCCAAGTCCTCCAATGTGCCTCCTCAGGACTTGATTCTGACATTGTCACATGGGATCCAGCCTAGATTTTTAATATATGTATCCTCTGTGCTGTTAAAGCAGCCTCTAATAGCTCTGCATTGCATGTACAATTGAAATAGAATAGTTTGCTGTTAAATACATGATCCTCTGTTAATTGTGGTTTGGGCTTTCTCTTACAACTTACTGTATCTGACTGTGAGTGTCAAGAGAGGTGAGAAGTATTTTGTTTCTCAGGTGGAATGTTGTTACGACTCCAAACCCCAGAAATTAATACACAGCTGACTGGGGATTCACTTGTGATGTATCACTTGGGCTCCAGAGAATGGAAGCTTTAAAACCAGAGCTGTTCATAAACACTGCAGAGCTAGTGCTGTTGTAGCCTTACATCTTAGGAAGCATTAGGCTTGGGAGATGTGGACAGCTCCAGTTCAAATCCAAGAGAATTGTTTGGCAGGGTTTGAATTTGCTGGCACAATTATATCTGTTTTCCTTGCATAGATATGAAGAATCCTATTAAAAAGGAAAGTAGTCTTGAAAGTTGTATGAGTATTCTCCCCAGGGGATAGTTCTGTGCAGCAGTAACTTCACAGCTTTCAGGTCTTGTCTGTCACACAACAGCTGCTCTGGACTGGACATTTTTATTCTTAATTTTTATTTGGGAGATTTGGTTTCGGGTTTGATTTTTGCTGGTTTTGTTGGGTTTTTTTCCCCCCAACTTTTGCTTCTAGCTCCTGCCTGGGAGTTCCACTTTATGATCTCACGTGGCATGAGTCCTGCAGTCTGTTAAAAAATGACATGGCAATTTTATCTCTCTACAGTTCTCTACACTGTTCAGTGCTTGTCAGGGTCAGTTTCTGCATTAACATTAGCATTGGTCTACATAGCTTAGCAACCATCACAGAGGGAAGTTTGCTCTTGTTCTAGCTCAGAGTATAATTAGGTAATGGAATTAAAGAGGGTTATCAAATGGCCACGGTTAACAAAAGTGTATTTTGACATGATTAAGACTTGCAGGATTTGGTCCTGTTCTTTTCCCTGTTCTTGCCCATACTGAACAACTCTTGTGTTCTTTTTGCTTTTCAGGTTGTTGAAGACTGGAAATACATTGCTCAGGTACTGGATCGAATGTTCTTGTGGGCTTTTCTTCTGGTCTCAGTAATTGGCTCACTGGTGTTATTTATTCCTGTGATCCATAAATGGGCAAGTATAATAGTACCTACACATATAGGCAGTGCAAATGCCTAAAATATTTGTGGAGCCAACTCCTGCTACTGTGGCTCTAAAGACTTTTGCAGTAGCTCTGTTTCCATGCATGTTCTTTGTAGGCATGTTTCTCATAGGGTGAAAGAAAATTAGCCCAACCTAGAAAATTAGGTTTCTATTAAAGCATGGCATCCCTAGGACACATACAAGTCCCTTGGCTTATTGACAGTCTACTAAGTTACTTCTAAACCAGGTCAGAATGAAAAGAACCTTCTCAAGCAGTTGCATGTATGACATGTAAAAAGGCATTCACTGACACCTGCTGCAAAGTAGAAGGATTTGAATATTTTTTATAATTGCTGTAGTCCAATTGTTAAGTGATATATAAATTATCTTGAGTATAAAATATTTGCAGTTACACAGTAGAGTTGCTTATTTCCATTTACTCGAGTATACAAAGGAGAATTTTTCTCAGCTCTCTTGAAGGTGTTGTCAAAGGAAGAAGTTTCTACAGAGTAACTGAAAAGAATAATAAAACACAAGTTAAACTTCCTGTATATCCAATAGGCCACACAAAATAGTGATTTGCCCTTGTTTTGCCTTTGTACATTTTCAGTGGAACTTGCCGCTAAATTTTAGAGCTTGTTAATTCTATGATATTAACATGAGCATTTAATAAGATTTGAAATGCCTAAAGCATCTGTGTAAATCAGTATCTCCATCAGCTATGGAAAGGAAGGCAGAGAGAGCCAAATAAGTTCCCAAACTGCACAAGTGTTATGGGCTGAAACATTCACATTGCTCTGGTCTTGCTGAAGAATTTGATACGATGTTATTTGTAAACCTGTTCATTATTTCCTGCCTTTGTGTGTTTCTCAGCATCAAGTTTTTCCACACAGGCAGAAGGGATTTGGGCAATGTCATTCTGAAGGAAGTGAGTGATAAATGATTGTGCTGTGTAAGCAAATACAAATGAGGAAGTTTTCACACATTTCAACTGAGCTCTCACATACAAACCCATGTGTAACTAAGCATCAAAGGCTTCCAGCTCTCCATACTTTCTTTTTCCTGTGAGTGTTGAAGACAAACTTGCAACTTTGCAATTACTCAGTTAAATCCAGTCTTCCTACTCATCCCAGTGCCACCTTTCTGCCTTTCTTAAAAGCTTTATTTCTGGAAAAGACTCTCAAACAGATGAGTGTTTTCCTCCACCACAGCTATGTCAGTGTTCTCCATGACACACCCTGGAGGGCTCATACAGTAAGGCCAAGCTAGACCAAGGCATGGAAGTTTTTCTTTGCTTGAATTCCTTCATCAATAACAACTTGGTTAGGTGAGGAGTTCTAACTAAATTGTGGTAATTGTGTAAGCTTTTAGAGGAGTTTTGAGTTTGGAAAACAGATATATATTCCCCCACATCTTCTCAGATCTCCTTTAGAACAGCACTGTGCTGACTATAATGGTGATTACTTATGTCATCAGTTAGGTATAATTGGATATTGACTTCAGATTGTTCTAATCTGTAGGATAGTCTTGGTTTTGTGTAGTTTTTTAAGGCTCACAGATAGGAAATGATGACAGGCAAGTCTTTCTTAATAGCAATTCATAAGTAATTCTGATTGTAAAGGAACTTACTCTTCTGTCCCACAGTTACATCTAGCACTGGATAGTCAGGTTTTCTCTATGCCCATCAGAGTTTTCAAGGTGAATTTCCAAAGACTATCCAATTTAATCCATGTAACTTTAACTTTCTTGGTATTCCTAACACTAAACGATGCATCAGTGACTTCCTCTGTGTGGAAGTTGCAGAAATACCTTTTGTTGAAGTATTTCTACTTACAAGATAACTTGTTTCCTCTTTGAATACACAATTTCTTTATCTAGTCTTCCTTAGCTTTGACTTAGTGAAATTTACTCTTGTCTGAACAGAAAGCAAAGTAAGTAAAACTGTAAATTAGATGTGTATCTTTTTACCTCTCCACCTCCTCTTTCCCCTTGTTAAATGATGCCTGTAGACTACCCAGTCCTACCATGATGGGCAGCACATTGCCCAGTGGAGTCACAGCTTTATTAGAGTAACTCACCAATTTTGCAAGTGCATGAATTTCTTTTAGTCTGATCATGATTCAGATAAGGCAACTGACACTGGAATCCTTGGGGTCTTCAGCTTATCAGGTGTGTCTGAAACAAAAGAATGTTAACAGACTAAAAGAATGGCCCTTGACTTCTGTAACTTGTTGCTGAATGTATTGAACTGGAGGTAATGCTCCCTGATACAGGCTTTTGTCACCCAGTCAAAATAAATGGGAGAAAAAAGGAACAGTTTTCAACAGTTTGATTCTCTTTATTTTCGTAAGTGTAACACCACTTGATACACTCTATTTCCAAAAATGTTTCCAGTTTGGTACAGAGAGAACAGTTCTTATTTGTACAAAATACATTCTCATGCCAGTGTTTTGTTGCATATTATTCATGCTCTTAAATAATCTGCAGTTACTGCTTTAAAAATAATCAAGATCTATATGCCTAAGGAGAAATTTTAGCACACTTTACAGGACTATTTTGTATCTACCTGCCTTCCATGGTAGTAAAACACTTCACTACAGCAGGATACCTCTATATCCAAACCATCCAAGCAGAGTATTTTGATCCTTTGCACCACCTGCAGACGGTGCCTTACTGTGTGTTTTACTTGCACACAATTCTAAACATCCTTAGGTTTGAATAGCTTTGTTTTCTGACAGTCTTCACATACATTGCAACATGGAGATGCAGAGTTTGCTCTAAGGCTGCTTTTTTACCATCACCTATTAGTTTCCTTCTGGGATAAACCTGCCTGTGGTGCTTCCTCCCCACTGTCTGGGTCATTTTATACTCTGAATTCCAGCAATTTGGCATTTGTGCTTCCCCACCATTCCATCCTCACGAGGGCATCCATGCAGCTCTGAATCTCTTCCAGAACATCCTACCACAGCCTGAAGAGAGTTGGCACCAAACTCATGGAAACAAGTCTTGTAGCCCAAAACATTCAACTTGTCTTGACTTTCCAAATGTTCATGTGATTTTCCATCTCTTTATTATCCCCTTCAAGCATTCCTATAAAGTTTCACATACTATCTCCATCTTTTGCAAGAAGTAGCTGTAAAGCATAGCTCATTTTACTTTGAGATTAGCTGTCATAAAGATACAAAAGAATTTAATTTTCCATGTTTTTATCAAAGCATTCTTGGTCGAGCAAAGCTGAGGCCAAGAGAGATCCTTATTCTACTGCACACAGAAGAGACAGGAGGTGCTGGGGTGAGGATACAGAGTTGATTGGCAGTTTTATTTGACTTCCCAACATGTTATTTAATCTTTACATTTCATCTCCAGCCATCAAAGGTTGTAAAAACAATCCTGCTGTGCCTAGGATACATACCAGGATGAAAACCCAGAGAAAAATCCGATCGATCACCATGGCTACGTATTTCCAGTCATCCTGAATCTGGGAAAAAAACAGAATAGCAAGTTGGTATGTTTATCAGGTGAAAAACTTGGATTAGTAATTAGTATAATTTTCTATAGGAGCACAGGGATTTTCCATATGTAGATATCTTAATGTATATACAACTTTGGTATTGGAATGTGCTGCCCAGGGAGGTGGTGGATTCACCATCCCTGGAGGTTTTGAAGCTGAGACTGGATGTGGCACTTACTGCCATGGTCTAGTAACCACAGTAGGGTTGAACTTGATGATCTTGGAGGTCTTTTCCAACCTGGTTGATTCTATGATTCTATGAACTTCTCTCTGTTTTCATTGTCAACTGCATTGAACTTGAAGCAGCTTTGTTTGAATATGCTCTTTGTGGCAAAGCCAAAAGCAGCTACTTCAAGTACAAAAAGTTGTTCACCAAGACACTAGACTTAGAATCACCAAGGCTGGAAGAGACCTTTGAGATCACTGAGTCCAACCATTAACCTGTTACTGCTGTAACCCCTAAACCATATCCTCCAGTGCCAGATCCAGGTATCTCTTAAACACTTCCAGGGATGGTGATTTCACCACCTCCCTGGGCAATATTCCAGTGCCTGAACACCCTAACAGGGAAAACATTTTCCCCAACATCTAATCTAAATCTCCCTTGCCTCAGCTTATGATCATAAACTTGGACTTGAGGAGATACAACTTCTCTACACCAAAAATGAAAGTGTAAATCTTGACATTCTTAGGTGAATAGGTTTGTCTAGAAAACAGAGTGTTCCTGTTGGTCTTTAGGCAGTATGGAAAAAGCAGAGGTGAATTGGAATATAATTATTTGGTACTTTTCTTATGTAGCACTGAAATGTGATTGTTCTCATGCATGATGTAAAGTTCATCTCTCTACTTCTCGTGTAGAGAGGGAACCAAGTTTCAAAAACCCCAGAGTTTTCTAAGCTTTTTTACAGTGAGTGTCATAACAAGAGTGACACTGGAGTATTGTATATGTTATTTATTCACAGTAACTAGGTGATCATTTCAGTTACTCTTGAGATTACAATGCAATTTTTGCCCCATTTTTCTTCAGGAAGGCTAAGAACTGAATGATGCATTTGTTGCTTTGGAAATTTTGTGCTTTTTACTTAGAACTCATTTGTTAAGGCAAACTTAAAACCCTAAAGTAACCCCATATTTTTTGTACCAACTAAATCTAAATAAACTTCTGATTTCAGCACAAAGTAACTTCATTCTAACTTTAAGTACCATTCTGCAGAGGATTTCAATTCAGTGGTGTTGTAGCTACTGCTCTTAGTATGTTTGAGGAACTTGATAGAAAAACTTTTAGTTTATGTTTTAATTGCATTAAGATACAGCTCTATGAAAGATGCTGGTCCTTGCTTTGCAGCAGTTGCCTCATTTGGCTACAGCACTTCACTCTGCAGCAGCAACAGAACAAGCAGCATCAGCAGCACGAGGGACATTGACTCTTAGTTTTCGTTGTTGAGGGTGAGATGTAACTTCCTAAAGGCCACAGAGTCAGCAAATTCCACAGTTAAGTTTATAACTTGGAAAACCTTCACTGCAGCTCTCACAGGATGGATGCTCTGGTATGTTCTCCTAGCAGTGGTTACCTTAGCCACTTCACTCAGAATGTGTGTTGTAATAAAGAGAACATTGGCTGCTCCCTGATCAGATATTCAAAATGACACATTTGTAATACAGCTTGGGTAATTCACTTGTGTCAAATAATGATCTCTGTTTCCTTTTTTGTTTGTTTGGAGCTTATTCTTGTGGGTTTTGTTTGCTTGTTTGAGATATCTTTCTTCTAATGGCAAAAAGTGTCTGCAGTTCTGCAGTTTGAGTAAAACGTGTTCTTACCTCTTTGGCTTCGTTCTGCATTTTCATGTTCTCTGCAATGTATTTCACACTTTCAATAGCATCTCTCATTTCTGGTGACAGAACTGAAAATGAAAGCATAGGATCTACAGACTCAGAGCTTGAACTTCTGGTGAGATTGCCACTGAGATCCGAGAACTTCATGCGCTGGTAGTGACAGCAGCTGCATGCCATGTCCTGGCACACAAAGCCATCCTTGCAGCATTTGGGCTCAGAACTGTTGATGCAATTTAAGTTTGAAAACTCAGAAGTGAATAATGGCTTTGGCTTCTGATTATTCTCTTCATCATTGGCAGGCCTGGTCATGAACATGATCCTGGGAAGTAAGTTGAGGAAAATGGTTCTCACCCACACGGGCATTGTGTGTGTCTTGGGGGTTCTGTAGTGCACATTGAGCACAAACACTGTGATGACAATGGACAGAGTTACAAAGATCATGGTGAAAAGGAGGTATTCCCCAATCAGGGGAATCACCAGGGAGGTAGAAGGTATGGTTTCTGTGATAACAAGAAGGAACACTGTTAAGGATAGAAGGACTGAGATGCAGAGTGTCACCTTCTCACCACAGTCTGAGGGCAAATAGAAAACTAACACAGTCAGGAAAGAAATCAGCAGACATGGAATAATCATATTGATAGTGTAAAACAAAGGCAAACGCCTAATGTAAAGGGAATAGGTGATGTCTGGATATATCTCTTCACAGCAGTTGTATTTGATGTCATGTTTATACCCAGGAGCTTTAATAATAGCCCATTCTCCACTCTCCCAATAATCTTTCAGGTTCATTGTAGAGCCAATTAAGACTAAGTCAATTTTGGCTTTATCATAAGACCAGGAACCAAACTTCATGGTGCAGTTCTGATAATCAAATGGGAAGTAGGTTACATCTATTTTACATGAACTTTTAAATATAGCTGGAGGTATCCAGGTAACATCACCCGTGTATTTCAAAAGGGCCTTTGTCTTGTCATCCACCTGGAAATCCCCAACTGCACTGTGAAGTAAATAGAAATAACAGACATTAGAATGATCTACTCCAGGCACTTTCATACATTCAGTTTGTATACATTAACCCTGTTTGGGGAAAGTCAGCAAGTACTTGGTGACTTGGAGCTGAACTTGGAGCTCAGCCTGTGCAGGACTGAGCCAGTGATCATCATAAATGTGCACAGTTACACTCAAACAAACAGCTGCATAAGTTTACCAGGGAAGAGTTGGCAGGAAATACTCTTCCTTAGAATAACACAACTCAGTGTAATCCATATTCAAAATGGCAAACAGCAGATTCCAAATAGCAATCCAACTAGAAGAGTTGTAGGTCCCTTCCAACTGATCTATTCTATTCTATTCCAGATCAAGCACATCAGAACCCAAGGGCTGATAAGAGGATACCTCTATTACTGCTATTTCCACCTCTTCTGTGGACAGTGCAGGTAGTAACTATGGAAGGAACAGGTTGCCCAGGGAGGCTGTGGCTGCCCCAACCCTGGTGTTGTTCAAGGCCAGGCTGGATGAGCCTTGAGCAACCTGATCTAGTGAGGAGGTGTCCCTGTCCATGGCAGGGAGGGTTGGGACTAGATGATCTGTAAGGTCCATTCCAGCCCTGAAATTCTTTGATTCTATGATGATTCTATGAAGGAGGGATTAGTTTTGGGTGCATCTTTGCATAAAGAGTATATTTGGTGAGGGTTTTTTTGAAGTCCCACTTTGCTATCTAATATGATCCATGTGATAATTTGAGTTGTTTATAAGGAAAAGTAAAAGGTAATGTAAAGTTTTAAGGCCACAGTTAGAAAAGGAGGGTCAGCACTGCTGGTCGACAGACCTAAGTTTTAGATCTCTGTAGCTAAGTCCATTTCACTGAGAACTGTTTCC